TTAAAGTTGTCTACCTAGTATTCATCCTTCTTTTCCTAAGTATTCTTGTGCAACGATCAACAATAAAAAATTTCCGTTAACCTGGACACATTCTGAGCACCAAACCAAGCCCAAACAGAACAAATAACAATGGAAAAACGTGCCATTTTTACAAGAAAAGGGTCAAATTTTCAGAGAAACTAAATTATAATAAATTTAAATGACTTTATGAACACATGTAATTTGTGCAACATTTATATTTGTAGGGGATTTAAATAGAATAGTTCCATAAACCACTACTTTTAGTGTTTTCCTTTATCTCAATTTTATAAAGCTGAAGTAAAGATATACTTACAAGTTTGAGTTAGCCAAACAAATGGGATACTGAATTATAGCCTTCCGGTGTCCACTGATCATTTTTAAAGCTAAATGCAAATTTTAAGATACGAGTTATGACAGAAGACTGACAGAGTGATAGGAATTCAGTTTTTATCACTACGTCTTTTGGTACTTAACCCAGAAGCCCACAGAGAACTTTACAGCTGACATGGGAGAGTGCTCAATATCTCACCATGGAGATATTGCTGAGAAACAATTTTTGATGGAGAAGTATATAAGTATGCCTTTATAACCAATACTAAAATTCATGATTCTGACTGTCGTGGTCCTTGAGAGCTAAAATCCCGTGGACTACAATCTGATCAATAGTGCAGTTCAGGCAGAATAAAATGTGAGCCTAGCAGTATTTTACAACTATTATTTTGTAGGAAGAAATTATTTTATGTGTGTGGTAGTTACAGAAGGAAATAACACACACATTGCAAAATGTTGCATAAAATGCATTATGTCACGCTCAGATATTTGTAATCAAGTTTTGGCCAGGCTTTAGATTTTATGTTTTTTACCATCTTAACCACAAATCTGTAGCCTGAGAGTAAAATGCACAAAACGAATAATCAAAATGTTCTCCCTTTATCCTCAAATACTTCCTTTCAACCTCATTGCTATTGACCTAAACTGAAAACAAAAAGAATAATTATAAAGAATAGGAAACTCACTTTCCATAGATTGCTTTTACTGAGTAAACATCACAATGAAGTTTATTTCTCTGCTGTAGGATCCCCTGACTACCAAGACTGAAGTATAAATTTCAGAGAAAGCATGTCCATTTTTGTTAGCTATAAAATAATAAGGGGGGTTCATTTTATGCATATATCTACTGAATTGGATAAACATTCTTGAAGACCACTTAAAAAGCTGTACTGTGAAAGTTTATGATAGCCAGTAAGCTTTTTTTTTTTTTCTTGTCTTCTTGAGACAGGGTCTCAATAAGTGACCCCTCTGGCCTAGAACTCAATATGTGGATTACGCCAGCTTTGATCTCACAACAATCTGCCTGCATCTGCCTCCCAAGTGTGTAACACAATGCCTAGTAAGTATTAATAAAGCTAAGCACCAAAGAATATAACTCATGCATTATAAAAGAGATGGGGTTGGTGGTTATGATGGGATTAAGAATCAAAAGTACTGACCTGAGAGCGCCTGACTAGGCGACACAAGAGTTCGTTTCACCCTTCACCAAAGAAACTTGCTTTTGCAACAGAAGTCTGTCACAGAGTTCCAGAACTGGTCAAATGCAGAGAACACATGCCTTTGAGATGCATAACCCTAAGTGACACATCTTCAATGAAACCTCTGTGCATAGGACGAATGTATCTCTTAACTCTTACCAGAGACGTTTTCTCATACAGCAGATAATGATTAACACAGAAACTCACAACTGGCCAGTGTGCAGAGAACAAGATGCCACAGAGCGCTTATCTCTGAATAGGACACCTATTTCAAACCTCTGCTTCCCAAGATTCAGGGATTATTGAAAAAGAGGTGGCGGAAAGATGTAAGAGCAGAGGGGTTGGATGATCACAAGCAGTCTTCCAGATAGCTGGTCAAATACTCATATGAACTTATAGCAAATGGTGACAGCATGCACAAGTCCTATGTAAGCTCAAAGCAGGCAAAATTCCAGCTTAGAAATGGCAGAGTAAAGAAATTCCAACCCAACCTAAGGAACTTTTGGCAACTGATGGATGCTGGGAGGAGAAAGACAGTGTCTTATAGCAATGGGACTCTTGGAGGGCCCAGTGGCTGGACCCACACTGAGTGGCATTTATAGACACAAACTGGACTATACAGACCATATTACATACATAAGAGAGTACATTAAATTGAGCAGGGAGGGATGGGAGGACACGCAGAGGGGGAATCTGAGTACCATCAAATTGTATGAAATAAGAGAAATTAAATTAAAATTAAATTTAAAAGATAACTTTGAAGAAAGAACAAAAGACAATATTATTTAAGAGTAGTTTATAAATATGTCACAAACTAGGTAATGAAATGATGAGATGCCATTTGTCATATTAATAAGTTTGTATATTCTTATTACTGAGCTATGGAGAATGATGACGGGACAAATAGGACATTTGCAAATTTTTGGAGACATTTCATTTCACAATTAGCAAAGATGTACCACTACCAAGTGTTAAAAGTATAAATGAGAAAAAAATTCTTAGGAAAATTTAACCTCATGCTTGTCATTTCATTTATACTAATTGAAATAATATTGCATATTGTATTACAGTATAAAATTACTCTATAACATGTAAAAGTTACTAAACACAGAATTTTTAATTTGTATAAAATATATGTAAAATTAAATCAAATTCATGAAATTTTTTCAACATTCATTTGTTCTCAATCCTATTGTTTAAAAAAATTCCCAGATTCTTCTGGCTAGATAGATGACTCTGAGGTTAAAAACACTGGTTGGCTCCAGTGGGTGGGGGTTGCCATTTGGGATAGGAGTATAAAGATGATTAAGATTGTTTGGGATGTTCTGTATGAAATACACACAAAAAAATCAATAAAATAAAAGTAGTTAAAAAAAAAAAAACATTGTTCTTGCAGAAGACACAGGTTCAAATCTCAGCATCCACATGGCAGTTAACCTCGGTCCCTAACTCCAGTTCCAGGCATTGTATGACATGAGTGCACTTACATACATGCAGGCAATACATGCATACACACGAAATAAAAAAAAAATATTTTTAAAATTCCTAGATTCTTATAATTATCTGTTTTGATCTCAAAGTGTTCAAAATTTGCTCAATATTTTGCTCACAAATAAGTTCATCTTATATAAAATTCTTTGTGATTATTGCCTATTAAATTGTTTTGAACATTAACATTTTCTAATCAAGGCTCAATTTCCACTTTAAATGACATAAAGTTTCTTAAACATATTTGCATATTTATTTCATATTTATTTATTATTTTTATTTCATGTGTATGCATGTATTACCTGCATGTAAGTGTGCCCATGTCATGCAACACCCACTGAAGTCAGAAGAGGGTGTTGGATCCCTAGGAGCTGGATTTATAGATGGTTTTTAGCCACCATGTGGCTGCTGGGATTTGAACCCAGGTCTTCTGCAAAACTGACAGAGCTTTTAAGGGCTGAGCCTGGCATTTCATTATTTTTGTATTACATTTTATTTATTTACTTGTATGTGCACATAGCCAGGCCATGAAAAGTATGTGTTAGTCAGAGGACATGTGAAAGTCAGCTCTTTCCTTCAGCATGTGAGTTTTGGGGATCCAACTCAGGTTGTCAGTCCTTCTCGATGGCATTTTTCCAGTTAAGCCATCTCACTGGCCTGAATTCATTTACTTTTAGGTTATCTTTTAGATATGATCTTGCTATATTGGTGTTTGGCCTCCAGTCAGAATCTTAGGATCTTAGCCTTCAGAGTAACTGGCAGTTTAGGCTCACACTTACCACGTGAGCCCACGTGGGGCTTTAAATATTTACAAAGCAATTAAGTCAATGGAAACCACACAAAAATACAGTAGTAAAGGATATAAAAATCCAGTCAAATACATATCTCAAAATTATTTTCAAACTTTTGTATATTTGTAAAATATTATATATGATCTTAAAAACTTTTAGTGAGGAATTTTTTTTCTTAAGCTCATGTCTATGAAAATGTAAGTTGTTGATCTTATTTTCCTTCGTTGCACTGTTTTAATTATCTTCCTCTTTCTAGTATCTGTTCCTTCTTCAAGTATCATCTCATGTGGCTTTGGATATATATTTCAGATTCTCTTTTGCTAATGCACATATGGTTTTTATGTTGCAATATTTCATATTCTCTTGAAATGAAAAGAACTCATTTGGTTTTCATATTCTTTTAATCTAGATGTTTTAAAGTAGGTTTACTTATTTTAATTTTATTGTATGATTATTTTGCCCGCATGGATGTATGTATATTACTTATGTGTCTGGTGCCTGTGGTGGCCAGAAGAGAGCATGGGCTCAGTGGACTATAGGCAGTTATGAGCTGCTGTATGGGTGCTGGGAAATGAACCTGGGTCCTCTGCTGGAGCAACAAATGCTCTTAGCTTCTGAGCCACCTTTAGATGTTCTCTGTCCTATTTCTTTTCTTTTCTCTATTGTTTTTAATTACTTACAGTTAAAATTTCAATAGTGTACCAAAGAATTTTTGATGGAATTTATGAAGGCAGCTAACGATAATAATTATGTGGAAAATTAAATCCATGAACATTCGATATATTTTGAAGAAAAATACTAAGATTTGTGAGCCTCATCACCAGTACCACAACGTGCTATAAAGCAAGACACATGAGAAACACAGGCCACTGCAGCATACCGCTGACTCACCTCAGGCAGAGGCTGGAACATCCAGATAAGGACCTTCGGTGAGGTTAAGCTGAAATATGAGGGAACATTGCAGATCAGTCAGTAGAGAACAAACTGTTCCTAATTGAAATGAAAAATGCAAAGATTGGACAAAGGAAACAATCTTACTTTTTATACAATTTAAATGTAGATAGATTAAAAGCTAAAATACCTAAATTTATATCGGAAAATAATTTGGTAAACTGTTGCTCAAACACCCCTCAGTATTTTTGAGGTTTTGTGAGAATTTTTTTTTTACAAGTATTATAGCCATTCTCGGGGACCTTAATGACCGTAGCTATCCTTAAGGTGCATTAATATGGCCTTACTATTTCCAGCTTTTTCTATATCTCTGCAGTTCCACATTCAGATAAGCAGATTAGATAATTGGATTTTGTGAGAATGTTTAAAGAACTTCTAAACATTTCGATTATATTAACAGCAAGTGTAACTCAAAATACACATCGTAGTTAATCAAAATAAAACAACAAATTGAGTAAAGATATTTGAAATCAGTTGCAATAATTTATAAATTTATAATTTAAAAAATTTACTTATTTTGTGTTTATGTGTGTGCTGTGGAGTGTGTGTGTGTGTCTGAGAGAGAGAGAGAGAGAGAGAGAGAGAGTTCATATTCTTGTGGATGTGTTCATAAAATTCACAGGCTCCTGTGAACAGATGCTGTACCTGGACACTGAAGGTCTTGTGTGTTTCTCTATTTCTATCCATCTAATTTAAAAAATTTTTTTTTAACAATTAAAGTTACAGTTTTAACAATATACAAAATATTACAGTAATTCAGATTTTTTGGCATAATGATTACAGATTTGATAAATACATTTTATATCTCAGACACACA